AGTCCTGCCTTGTAAAAATGGGCAAGCTAGCAAAAAGTTAGTGTTGCTGCGTTGCCAGCTGGGTGCTCAGCCTTGCTGCAGCCCTGTGCTGGTACCTACTGGTGTGAGACATCTCAGAGGTGCTACTGGAGGATGCAGGACTGTGCTAGTGGGAACAGCCGGGTTTCAGTAAGGCAGAGATTGCATTGTAACACAAAGGGACAATGGTCCAGACACGACTACCTTTCCAAGTTAATTCTGTAATATTAAAACAGGAAACACACAGTGATTCATTTAGATTCCCAATGAGATTATGTTCTATGAATAGCTAAATGCCAGTGGGCACTAAAGCAGATTTACAGGTTTACATTCCTGACTAATCTGTCAGTCCTCGATGGATGGGTTTGTAGGAATCCCCAAGCACCATGCAGTGTCACCTAATTAAATGTTTGTGTGAAAAATGGCACCAGTCTCCTCCAATCCTCTCTGCTGTTGTCAGTGGAGAACCTGAGCAACAAGGTCAAAGACTGAAATTCATCATGAATTTCATTTGCGAAATGTTCTTCCTGTGCAAATATTTCTGTCATCCACATTTGGATGAGAGATGAAACCCATCCACGTTTCATAAATATCAAATCATACATTAATATGGGTGAGAGAGGTATTATTGTTAGGTTCATTTTTTAGAGGGAAATCTAAGTCACAGAGAAATTTATGAGCTGACAACATCTGGAGAGGTTCACCCTCATGAACTCCTTGCTGTCTTCTCCAAGCCTCATTTCCCCATAAATGTAGACCTGGCTTGATGTCTTTTCTTGTTATTTTGGCCTGCAAAGACATACTATCAAAACATCTTCTTATTTATAAAAGGAAAACTCTGCAGATGATACATAAACACACAAACACACACTATTTATAGATATCTTTTTCTGGTGGTAAGATCCATTAGCAGCTGGGGGACAGAGCAGGAAAGGAAACCCAGCACCCCATTCACAGTTTCAATGGGAAATAGTTTCCCAAATAAAACTCTGGCTCTGAGAAATTACTGTAATACAGGTTCTATTCTCATCCTTGCTTCTCTGGAGTAAATCAGGCTAAAGCCGGTGAAGCAAACAAGCCCTTCCAGATTTGCAGCACTATCTTAGTGCAGTTTGGCCTTCTGCAACTAAATCTGGTCTCTTCCAGCTTGGAATTGTCCTAGTGCAACACTAATGAAACTGTGGGTTGTTAGTCACAAGTGCCATGATGGTAGGTTCTTCAGAAATAGGTATTTTATGTTTAGACGGTAGAGATTTTTGCCTTCTCAGCTTTAGTACACAAATGTGTTTGTGTGCATGTATGTGAAACTGTATGAGGTTCTGCCTGCTCTGAGGTGACGGCAGATGAGCTGTTTCTCAGTTTGAAACATTTTGCCAAGCATGGACTTGCAAATGCCAGAAAGAGCACACAAGCAACCTCTGAGGCCAGCATACAGAGCAAACTGTAGCTGGACAGATTCCAGGTAGTCATAAAGGGAGCTGCTTGCTTATTTAATTCGAAATGAAATGATCAATATCGCTACAAGATGCAGAATGTTAGATCTTCCATCTCTCCAATACTTAAAATGTAAGTTAGAGATTAATATATATATATGGAGAGATTAACAGCTCATGAAATTATGCGGCCTTAGGCTACAGAGACATGAATAATTTTGGCCTTTAACTCTACACGTTTTGCAGTATCATGTGTGCAGCAATGAGATTGTACTAAATGCTTCCTAAATTTAGAGGACAGAAAGGGATACTTCTGAAGCTTATGTTTTTGGAAGAAGATAAAATTGTCAGTGAGTTCAGCCCCATTTCTATGTACGCGATCAGAGTGCCAGTCCTTGGGCTGTCAAGACCAAAGGCACTTCATACATGTGTGACAGCATCACTCAGCTGGCACAGTCCATCAGTGCCAACAAGCAGATGTTTGCAGGACACTGAACTGGAAGAAGAGAGCTTAAGATAGCCACAGGGAGCTCTTACAGCAGTTGCTAAGACATAACATTAGGCAATTCTGCTAGTTCTAGCATGTTGACAGAGATGTATGAAATCACCTTGCCTAATTTTACAAGCGCTTATATCAATGGAGGGTATGGAGGAATTGAAGACTGTTTGTTGCCAGCCCATACTTCTTTACATCATGAAATAAGTTCAGGTTCTTATCCTGCTTTTGTGCCTATTCACACTCAGCCTTCCAGCTGGTTGTAATCCCATAGTAAGAGATGACAGCTACTAGGACAAGCTTCAGAAATCGCATTTGAGGGGCTTTCCATGTCAGGGTAGCAAGATTTTGCACTCTAGCATGCCACTTTCAGCTCCTGGTTTTACTGCCATTTGTCTGTGCTCCCATCATACTCAACTCAGAGTTGGGAAAACTGGAGCAGCCAGCAATGAGGAAAGCTCCCCAGGCAGAGCCACATCTTGGACCTGGCTTGCAGAAGCCCGTATGTCCACGTGTCCCACCGACCTTGGATTCCTCCTGGCTGGACAGGGTGCTGTTGTGTTTTGATGTTTCTTGTTTGTCTACAAGAAACCTGGAGAGGGTCTTTGAACAAGGACCTGTAGGGATAGGAGAAGGGGAATGGCTTTAACCTGCCAGAGGGGAGATTCAAATGAGCTCTTGGGCAGAAGTTCTTCCCTGTGAGGGTGCTGAGGTGCCGGCACAGGGTGCCCAGAGAAGCTGTGGCTGCCCCATCTCTGGCAGTGTTCAAGGCCAGGTTGGACACAGGGGCTTGGAGCAACCTGCTCTAGTGGAAGGGGACTGGAACTGAATGAACTTTAAGGTCCCTTCAACCCAAGCTATTCCATGATTCTATGATGAGACTCCTTCTATTTTGCACTGCAGGTGAGGGTGCAGCTCCTCTGATACCCATTTCAAAGCCCTGCCATGTGTCCCCTTTGGCCCAGTGGGGAAAAGCTGCATTAAGCTCACAGAAATAGTCTGGCCCTTTTCCTCACAGTTGCACCATCTGGATGCTCATCCAATGGCAAAGGGGTCAGGAAGACAAAAGCGAATTATCTTCTGGTACCTTCTTTAGGGCAAAAGAGTCTAAATGGCTTCCTACTAAGGCTCCTTCCTTACCAGCAGGTTTCCTTAAAGCAGCCTGATCTACGCTGTCACACAAAACCAGTGAGGTCTCCTTGATAGTTAGTCCTAAATGTGGCTTTGCTTTTCCTCCTTTCTCACAGTATTCTTAAAAGTCATATAATCCTATTGACTTCAGTGAGATTACTTCTGATTTACAATTACTAGTGCAAAGCAAATTAGGGGATGTGATAGAATATATGCATCAATCAGGCCTGAAACTGGAGTAATTTCAGTCTCTCCTGGCTTGTGCTGAAATGCTACTTTGCTACGTGAGAAACAAAACTAGAAAATAGTTATTAGCTGCCTTAGCAAAGTGAGAGCTGGAAATGTCACTGTAAAACCATTTTTTCCCATAACTTGCCTTCTCAGAAACACAGATGATGTCACCAAATAAATGATTTAAACGCACACACACAACACTTGCTGACATCAATAAATGTAAGTACAGCTTTGGAAATGCAAAGTGCAGCCAGCACAGTGAAGGGTGGGTCTTGGGAGATGCCAAGACTATCTCAAGACAGCTTATGACTGATGGGGCTCCTCGTAGCACAGAACTTTGCTTGCTTCAGGAGGCACTGCAAGGCTGCAGCTCCCAAAGACTGCTTGAGCAGAAGGAGACCTTCTGCTTTACAGGGTAAACCCCCTCAATGCCACTGAGTTTCTGTCAAAGTACTCTCCCTTCTTGCAGAACACTTACAGTGTGAGCGGGCTCAGGTCGCTGACTATGCATCACCAGAGACTGTCGCTACCACCCTAAGAGCTTTAGTTGGAAATAAGGGGCAGAAGTGTTTTCTCCTACCCTGTGCTATATCTCCACATCACTACAACACTACATTGACACGACTAATATGAGGAAAGTAGGCTTTGGTTTTTCTTTGGGGATTTCCAGCATGGCCAAGGGACTTTGATATGTGACTTAATCTTGGAGCACAGTGAGAACGTGTTTCCTTCAAAAGTGTTTAAGCTGCTGAAAACAGAGAGAGATGCAATTCTTTGAAGACATTCACAGCTTCCTTCTGCAACAGTGAGTGCAAAGGGTGAAACTTTACAAATCACCGACAAGAGGGACTTGAGGGGACCAGCTTCTCTCTGATCTATCCCTCCTGACAAAGCACCTCTTAGATACTGGGTCATGCAGATACTGTAAGGGTCTGGAGATTTGAACTCTTTTTTTAACCCTTAATTTCAGGAATCCTATGAAACTTAAGCTTCTTGTCTCACTGCATTTAGTAGGCTCCTTCTTATTCATGTAAGGAACATGAAATATGTCATCTGATGTCATGGAGTAGCACCAACATGTACTAGAACTTAGTTTTGTCTATTAACCTATCCTTCAGAGACTCTGAGGGTCGTGATTGTTATACTGGTGTTATAAACTGAGTCACAGGATCTCCACAGTGATTGTATACCCTGGGAGAGGGGAGTATAATTCGATAAGGCTTTACTGAAACCTCTTCATACTTTATTTCTGGTATTCAGCTGTAGAATAAACCACAGGAAATTCCCAGTCTCCCATCTGAGCCCCTATGTACATCCCTTCCAGAGCTGCAAGCACAGCCAGGAGATGTAAAGAAGAGCCAAAGCAATGAGAAATAATCATCCACTTTGTCTGGTTGCAAACACTGCGATATACACTGTTTTCCTGAGCCTGTATCTCGTCCCTGTATGCATGTGCCCGTGGGCTGCAAAGGACAGTGCAAACTCTGCTCTATACAACCACAAAATAACAGAGGAATAATCAGCTCTCCTACATGCTGTTCCGGCTGCTGCTGCTTGTTGCTTTGGAGCTGCTGCTGTGGGGTTTGTCCATAGCACGCTTATAGCAAACACATGAGATGCCAAATGCTGACAGCATTTTACAGTACAAAACCAGCAGGAGTGGTCACTTAATCTGTCGTTTCTCCCAGGCAACACCTCCGAAGACTATTTAAGAATCCTACAGAATGTCCTGACCAAGGGAGCGGCTGCGTACATGAGAGGTCAGTGGGGAGTTCAGTGCTGGCAAGCAGAGGTTGCAGAGGTGGTTGAAGAGCAGGCTGGTTGTTATTCAGACTGGGTTTAGTGGCAAATGGCTTGTTGACCAAATGGATATTATATAACAAAAAAAATTCTTAGCTTTCCTGAAATGTGGGTGTCTTGGGTAAAGCCACTCTCTGGCCACATACACTATGTTTTTTAAATTGATAAGGAAAAATCAACAAGTAAATACCTTCTGCACACAAACACATGAATATACACCTCCATCATTTCCATTCAAGCATTGCAGAAGGCCATTTTTACTGCATCTCCATGGGTTTCCCAAGGGCTGTGTAAGTCCCTGGAGGTCTCTATCACCCCACTTCCACGTGTGAACTCCCAGCTGCCTGGCCAGAGCCTTTTTTTGGAGCTTCCTGAGGGAAAACCACTGAATAGGTATCTCTGTTTAGCAGGTAACACACTGCTACAGGTCATCTGAGGCTGAATTGAGTTCAGTAGAGCTCAGCAGCTCATTTTAAAGTTTGTTTTCTTTCCTTTCTAGTGTCTAATCAAGTAAACAGTTCAAAACTGAGCTTGGTTGAGAAGGGCATTTGTGAAGACATCCATTGTGAGAGAGAGGAGCTGGTGATAAAGAAACAAGGCATCTACTTGATCTATTGCCACTTAAACTTTCATTTCCCCAGCTGTTCAAACAGTTCCACCGACCTCAAGATAGAGTTCCTTGTGAATGACCAAGTCAACAGGCAAACGTTATCCACATGGTGCGCCTCTGAAATGTGCCACGAAAAGACTTTTAAGACCTTGTTCCAGCTCCATTTGACACCGCTGAATGTGAAGGACCGAGTATCAGTAACACTTAATCATCCCGAATTCTTGAATGAAATGTATCTTCCCAATGAAAACGTTCTTGGGGTCTTGAGGTACAGTGATGAAATGTGAGCAGCTATCTGACTTCCCACTGCTGCCCAGATTGATCTTTCCCTGAAAAACAGTAGCCTGCTTTTTCTACGCAACTTTAGGAACTTTATGAGTATCCCAGAAAAAAAACTAAAACACTGCAAAGCCCACTCCTGACAGATTCTTCTGGTGTGGGGGTTGGATTGTCATTGGAATATACAGCATATAACCCATATATCTGCCAATGGTTCCTCAAAACAATGCTGTGTAAACACAGATTAAAACATAACCAGATTATGGGAAGAATACACAATATTGAGACTTTTTGGCTAACGGACCACTGGCAAGGTGCCTGTGCTCAGGAGATGGGGAAATCTTTTTAACTGAATTTTATGGAGTAATATTTTGACATGGACAGTCAAAGCTTGTAATCCAGGCTTTCTTTACAATGACCATGCAACCAGAACTCTGGAGTAGGTTTATGGATAGAATGTATGAAAGCAAAGGCAATGATACTATTGACTTCCAAGGTGGTAGCTAAAACTCTGGGCCAGGACACAGGAGATAGGGGATTTACAGGATATTTCTGTGTTGCATTCTGCTATGGACTTTGTGCAATTTACTTCCAAGTGTCTTCCTTTTCACTATTTATCCATCTTTTCTATTTAAATATTAAATATATGCACAATGCTCAGCCTCTGGTCTCACCTGGGGTTGCTAGACCTCTTCATAGCAAATATTAAAACAGTAATCTAGTTGCAAATCTACCCACATAGCCAAGTTCATTACTATATGTTTTCCTTGAATCCTGTCCTGCCTGTTAGACAGTACCCTGCATGACACCAGACCACACTGGCATGAAATAATACACCTCTAATGCTTTCACCTTCTGAAAAGCCAAGATTTAGATCTGACATCCAGACTTTCCCAAAAACAATTTCAGGCCTGGGCCTCAGCCAGGAGCTGTGGATTTTGCGCAGCCCAGAGGACAGATATTATCTGAGCTTCTTTGGCTTACTGGAATCCTTAGATAATGAAGGATTAAAGAGTAATCTCAGGCTCTCTTAGTCTATGAATTGCAGGAACACAGGCATGTATTTGAGATTTAATTTTTACAGTGAGAAGATAGGAGCAAGAAGTTACAAAAGCTGGTACCAATTCACTCTTTTTTCTTTTCCCTTCATCCCTGAGATCCTACGAAGGTCTATTTTCACTAGTATTCAAGTTTTTCCCCTTGTGTTCCCGTACCTTCTTTCCTTTACATGTCTAGAGCTCAGTGAACTGTTCATATCAAAACATTTAGTCACAGATTCAGTTTCTAGCTTCAGAAACGCAGAGTCTTATTGTTCAAACTTAGTTGATGTTGTCAAATGAGGTAGTTTAGTTTGCATGAACACACTCAAAAAATACTCCTAATAGTAGTAATTTGTTAATCATGTTATGTCATCAGAAACTGATGGTACAGAGTGGTTTCATCCCATTGACCAGGTGACTTCAAAATACACAAGAAACTTTCAAAGGGTCATGAGCAATTGATAGGATTCACTGCCAGAGATACTGGTTTGATACACACAGAATCATAGAATGGTGATGGTTGGAAAGGACAAAAATTCCTTTTGCTATTAATGGGGGGAAAAAAGGAAACAAGAAAACTAAATCAATGTTTTCTTTCTTTCTTTTCCCCTTACAGAAAAGGCTTATCTTGCCTATGACATTATAACCTCCACTGAGATCTCCTCACCTCCCTGGGCCCTATATGTCTCTCAAGTCTCTGAATAGGCTTCTTAACCTCTATCTGCCTTCACCTCGATGCGCACAACTGGTGCCCAGACAAGTTTAAGCAAGCCCAGCAGTCAGGAATCATAGCTCCTGAATATAGAAAAGGCAGCTAATGAATGAAACTATACATTTACTCACACATAACCACCCACTCCCTTTTCCTAAAGGCTTTGAATTGAAAGACCATTCTTCAAAAAATTAAAATAAAGCAGCACTCTGCATAGGATGATTTTATTCTATTATTTTACCGGATGGAGAAAATCCTAGCAAAGCAGTGTTAAGCTTCTCAGCCCCAGCCTTTTTAATACCATAGGATAAAACAATCTGGCCTCTACACTGTTGCCTCTGAGAAATAAGAACAAATTACAGCCATAAAGAGAACCCATTAATAGTGTGCAATTTTGCCATCAGTTAGACAATGTTAAATATCTCCCCGTGAAACAAGACCCTGAGCCAGCAGCAGCCTCCACGCTTCCTGGGAGACTCCAAGTCACTTCACTCCTTCACCGTTTTGACTTCTTTTATTTCCTGGTGTTTTGAAGCAGATCATTTTGGACAAAAATCCTGTACTACAAAGTCCAGGCTGACCCTTCCCACTGTGTGGTCTTTTCAGCAATATCAGCAGCAATTCACTTTGGGGAACAACCCATTCCCATGGTCTTAGCTTCACCGTGTGCCCCAGATGAGCTTTTCTGCAGGAGAGTCCTCGTTCTTCTCAGGAGCACCTCAGCCCTAGAGACCCTGCTCTGGTTTCCCACCACAGAGCTCAGCCCATGAGAAAAGGGGGACGACTGAAAGCCCTGAAGTCATGGAGAAACTCTGAAAACCCCTCCCCTTGCCCTCAGATGTGGCAAACGTGTGGCTTTCTGTATGTATGTCCTACTGCTAACTTGACCAGAAACAGGAAGCATCAGCAATCCCCCAGCAAGTCTGCTCTATTGAGATTTCTTGGCCCATTGCAGACACCAAAAAAGTTGCATTGTTAAACTGTTTTCTGCTTGGTAAGGAGTATCTGTAGGTGTTAATATATGCCATTATTTGTATTCTTGGTTGGTAGGAAAAAAATGTGTGTTATTGGCTTAATTCTGGCTGTTGTTAATTGCTATAGAATATTTTTCATAGGGACCTAAATAGAAAGTAAGTCAATGCAGTTCACTTCCAGCCAAGCTCAGCCGGGGGCAGCAAACCAAAATCAGATCAAGTTTAGTATCAGAGATGACAGAATCGGATCTGAAGTTCACCCAAACTGTGAAGGCTTCCTGACACCTCCAATGAAATTAGTCTGACCCTGAACTCCTCAAAGCTCAGATCTGAAAATCAGGTCACAGCTTATCTGACACAGATTCATTATTCAGGGTGTGCAACTGCTTGCTGAGAGACTCGGGAGTTTTTGCATTCACTTCATGTCTGCTTTAGTTTCATTTCACTCTTCTCAGCATTTCTTACAGGCCGGAAATATCACAGTCACTTAGAAAGAAATCCTTCACTGTGCCATGGGCTAACCAGGGGCCGAGCGCTACCTAAAAATGCACAGCAGTCCTATTTTAAAGATCCCATTCGGATCAATAGTGTATCAGCCGCCTTCTGCAAGGTAACTACCTGACTCTGCAGTCCTCTTATGCACTCAGATTCCTTTGGAGAGCAAACAGTATTCTGCAAAATCTTTCTGCTTGCACATGCTCTTCAATTATGATTATTATTCTTTATAATGTTATTAGATACAAAAATTACAAGCAGCTATATTTTTCCTGAAGTGAAGGAAAGAAAGGGACTACTCAGCACAACTAACCAACCCAAAAGTGAAATAAATAAGAAGCTTTTGCTTTTGGGGACCTCTAGCTGGGCCTTACTGCCTGGTCTTCAGAGACTGGAAATGATACAACCTGTGTTCGGTGAAAGGAAAAAACTCAGAGCAAATGCAGCTTCTCTCAGAGGAAAAATTGCAAATATACAAAGTTTCACAAACAACACTTGTGACAACAGGAGTTGCTCTCAGTGACCTCAAAATGTCATCCAGCCTCGGCTTTTTATGCTTATTATAGGCTCAATTTCAAGAAAGTGTTATAGATTGTGAAGATACAGGGAAATATGTTTTGGAAGACAGCATTCTGCAGCCATCCTCCCAGCCTAGGATCTCAGCTGAAGTGGTTTAAATTCCCAGTTTCTCTTCTCAGTACTGATTCCAGGAGCTTGAAGATTTGGGGTGGAGGGTAGAGATCAAAGAAGTGATGCAGGTGCTTCCAAGGAGAATGGAGGTGGCGAGCCCCCAGAACCCAAAATTTGCACAAGGGCCAGATGCAACCCCTTCACGCTCAGCATCCCCTCTGGCCTGCAGAGAGCTGACTGTGAGCAGCAACCACCCTCCTTTGTTGTAAGATGAAGCTGTTGTACACCATGGATAAAGTCATCACTTCTTCCTGAGGTGCCGTATCCCACAGTATTGGCACACACCACTTCCCTTCAGCCATGTCGTCAGAGTCTAAATTTAGTATCCCTATTTCCCTCTATAGCCTGTGTGATGCAAGAACTTCCAAGACATGAGTCAGACAACCAAAAATAGCTGCCTAGATAAAACATCGTCAACTGCTGAGTCTTTACTCAGACCCGTCCTTGGAGTCTTCAGTTTTCGTTCAGTTAACACAGAACCCCAGAATGGTTGAGGTTGGATGGGACCTCTGCAGATCATGTAGTCTAACCCCCTTGCTAAAGCAGGTTCACCTAGAGCAGGTTGAGCAGGTCATGTCCAGGTGGGTTTTGAATATTTCCACAACCTCTCTGGGCAGCCTGAGATGCTCCAGTCCCCTGAACGTCTTTGTAGCCCTCCGCTGGACTTTCTCCTTGTCTCTCCTTGTACTGAGGAGCCCAGAACTGGACACAGTGCTCCAGATGTGGCCTCGCCAGGGCAGAGTAGAGGGGAGGATTGAACAAGACAGGACTCAGTACTGACCCCAGAGGAATGCTGGGCTCCAGCTAGACTCTGCACCACTGATCACAACCCTCTGAGCTCTGCCATTCAGCCAGTCCTCAATCCATCTTGCTGTCCAATCATCCAACCCACACTTCCCGAGCTTACATCCATGAGGATGTTACAGCAGACAGTGTCAAAAGCCTTGATGAAGTCAAGATGATAGACAACATCTCCTGCTCCCCCCCCATCGAGCCAGCCAGTCATTCCATCATAGAAGGCTGTCAGATTGGTCAAGCAAAGATGATGAATTCAAGATAAATAAAAGATCATTTAATATGTGGATTGATAATTTATG